TCTCACTGATGTTTCTAACTCTCTCTCCCTCTCCCTTCCTCAATGTGTCTAGCTCTCTATCCCTCTCCCTTCTTCTATCTCTAAAAATCAATAACATTTTTAAAGAGAAAATTATAAAATAAGTAAACTTTGTTTTAATAGTGGTTCCAAACATAATGGTTAATTTGCTTAACAAGTATTTACAAAGCGCCAACCATGTGCCTAACTCTGGTCACCCCTTCAGACTGAGAGGAAGGCTCCAGTCCTCATCACCACACACAGAGAGAGGGGCTGAGGCCTGGTTCCTGCAAGGTATATGGAGCACTCACAGGAGGCTGCACTGAACCCCGGCTAGGGAGAGGATCCAAGAGGGCTTCTCAGGGAGGACTTTAACTACTGTAATATTCAGCTGGTAATTTACATTCACATTTAAAAATGCTTAAGGTAAGCTTAGTCTCTAAGCAGGTCTCTACAGATGGAATCTTTTTATTTTCATAGGCTTGAAACCACCCAGCCATTATATCTTAAAGTGAGAGAGTGATAATGAACTGTTAAAAGAGTTTATTTGAGCAAAAATAGATTTGAATCAGGCAGTACCAAACTGTAAGAGGTTAGGAAAGCAGCACCAATAGGATGGGCTCAGGGAGAGATTTTATAGAGAAAAGGCAGAAGCAAAGTAAGGAAATTATTTCGTGGCTATAGCTAAACATGTGATGTATGTATAGGCATGCTGTCTAACTGAGCATGTATGGGAATGCCCACACCTATACATGTGATGAGAAAGCTCAATGTTTATGCATGAATTTCCCTGAATCAAAATAAATCCCATCCTTTGTTCAGGGACAAAACAATTTGGGAAAGGCTCTTGCTCTCCCTCTTGCTGAAATACATACATACATACACACACACACACACACACACACACACACACACACACACATACATACACGTCATCGTCTGCAGGCTTGTAGTACAGCACCGTCATTCTCATGAAATCTTCTCAGATTGGTCTTTTTGCAATTACCGAGTAATTGCACAAGGATCAGTCCGGTAAAAGAATCTTCTTAGCAAGTGAAATGGGGAAACTGAGACAAGGCCAAGGAATTTACAGCCAGCTAATAAATCGCAAGATCTTATCTTCCCTAACCACCCACACGTAGAAGCAAATAGCTTTGCCCTAGCAAGACACTCAGTTGATTAGAGCCAAGGTTTCAGGTTTGATACCCAGTCCAGGCCCCTATAAAAATTAACAAATGAATGCACAAATTAGTCTCTCTCTCTCTCTCTCTTTCTCTTTTCTTTCCTCTCTCACTTTATAAAAATCAATAAATACAAACTTTTTTAAAAGCAAGCGGTTTATTCCAGACCATGCAAGGGCAGACCAGCCTCAGTCTGGTCCCTTTCAGGTGACACTTTGAGCCTCTCCTGGCTGATATTTAGAACTCAACTCTCACCTTTCCTTTTACTCCCTTTATCTGAGCTTAGAGTGCAATAAATACTGCTGTAATTATTTCTGTCTGCTACCTGAACTATACTATGAATGCTTAGAGTGCAGGAACATGTCCCTTTTTCCTTTGCATTCTATCCTCAGGTAGTTCAACATGTATCAGAAAGTGAAAAAATGCTGCAGGGCAAGTCCAAGTGTTTCCGAATAAATATGATATGAATAAATATGATAGGGCTCTAAGAGTTGCTTCTCCTTTCTTCCCTGAGACAGGTCAGTGAGTAAATGAGAGTAGCTGTAAGGTCTGCACAAAAAGCAAAAGACAAATGTAGAAAAAATATCCTTGGTTATAGAAATGCATTCCAATTTCTACTAAAACAGCCAAAATCTTGCTGGGCCTTCACAATCCACTGCTGACTCAGGGGAAACATGCAGTCAAATAACCATGAGGTTGATTAATAACAACTTCCTCATCCTGTACTTGCTTATTAAAAAAAACAAAACAAAACAAAACAAAAACCATACATAGAACTTGACATTTTTTTTTTCAGGTTAATTATCATCTTGTTAAAGTAAAAGAGGGGAGAGATCAGTGTTAAAAACAACAATTCTTACTGTAAAGAGAAAACCACAGGCCCTAAATGGTGCCATTCTTGCTGAAAAGCCCAAATACCAAACCTAGATTTAATACCTAATCTAATTGAAGTTTCAAGACTCCCAGACATATAATATTAATCAGTCTGGAATTTTCTGGTCAACACCAATGAGGTCATCTGTTATATGGGCCCTCTCCATTCCCTCACCTCCCACCACTTGGACAGAGTCAATTTGCATGATAAAAAACTTCTCCCAAGACACCTTGCCCTTACCCAAGAGTATTCTCCTTTTTCTTTTGTTAATAACTCCCCCTGCACTTCTTCCCATAAAGACCTACCATTTTGAGAACCTTTAAGAGCACTCCTAGTTGCTAGATAGGATGCTGACCCATTTATGAATCTCCTAATAAAACCTATCAGATCTTCAAATACCCTCATTTGAATTTTGTTTTATAACACTACCGTTTATCAAGTTATAGACACTGTGCTACTTACATTATGTGCATCCCTTCACTTGACCTCCATGACCCTAGTAATTATTATTATTATCTTTATTCTAAACTTGAAAATGAGATTGGAGAATATATGTAGCTTGCCCAAGATCAGAGCTGGAAAATGGAGAGTTCCATCAGTCTCAGAACTCATGCTCTTAACCATGGCACCACACTGCTTACTTAGGTGGGGTTGGGGCAGTGCCCAGCAAGTTGGGACACCTTCTGGAAACTCTAGAAGAGACTTCTCTAGAGCAGTGATACCTACCTCTAGAGATAAGAATTTGACTTTTATACAAGAGTTCAAAGAGACCTGAATGTCCTTTTAGTAAGAACAATGAGAACTTCCTTATTTTGAAGAAAAAATGGCATACATAAGTTTTCCAGAATTAACTTGGGAACTTGCCAAGACTCCAAAACTGATCTGGAACTAGAACTCAGTGCACAGGTTCTCTTGATCCTCACCTCCTCTCCCTGCCTCTAATTCAGTCTAGAGCAGAACTAAACATAAAAATATTACCACCTCACTAGGAAAAAAACAAAAAACTATTCATTCAAAATAGGGCTCCGGAGAGATGCCCTTTATAATACACTGACAGAATTATTAATAAGAGATGCCACAGGTTATAACAGTATTAAATACCAGAAAGAGTAGGTGAATTTTCAAGCCACAAAGACATCTAACTGAATGTAGAAATCTTGAAACTTTAAAATAATATCATTATTGTCAAGGTTCCATAAAGTCCTTTATAACCTAAATACACTTCTATTATAGTTGATCCCATGTTAACCAGACCTCATATTTCTTTTTATAAAATATATTTTATTGATGATTTTTTACAGAGAGGGAGAGGGATAGAGAGCTATAATAGAAACATCAATGAGAGAGACACATTGACCAGCTGCCTCCTGCACACCTCCTACTGGGGATGTGCCCACAACCCAGGTACATGCCCTTGAGCGGAATCAAACCAGGGACCTTTCAGTCCGCAGACCGACACTCTATCCACTGAGCCAAACTGGTTTCGGCCAGAACCTCAAATTTCTAAGGCATTCACTCTATTGGTAGATTTCACACACAGAGAGAGGCTTAACAGTGAATGTTTTTGTTTTGTTGTTTTGTTTTTCTAGTATACTTTTTATTGATCTCAGAAAGGAAGAGAGAGAGAGAGAGAGAGAGAGAGAGAGAGAGAGAGAGAGAGAGAGAGAGAGAGAGAGAGAGAAACATCAATGATGAGAGAATCACTGATTGGGGATCCAGCAGGCAGCCCAGGCATGGGCCCTGACAGGAACAGAAGCCTGACCTCCTGGTTCATAAGTTGACACTCAACCACTGAGCCATATCAGCTGAGCAACAATCAATGTTTTGTTAATATTGTAATTAATTTTAAAACATCTTTCCTCCAAAGAGGTAAACATATTGGAATTCAATGGAGTTCCAACTTTTGCAGTTTAAACAAATAATCACTTCACTAGACCACTTCATGGGCAGTTTCCTTTTCTCCTCCTCCCTTGGCTTTCTTTACAGAAAACACTATTTACATTTTAATAATGAAGGAACTAAATCAAGGAAGGCTAAGGAACAAATAGGAGACCCAATTAACCACAAGTATTTGCGTGGCAACAGTGGGTGCGTTCCTCTCCCCAGACCCCAGGCAGAGGGGAGCTGCCCAGTGTGGTGGGAAGGACGGAAGGAGGAAGGGGGAGGAGCCCTCTCTTTAGGTAAACATTCCCAACAGGTGACCTTGAAGTCACTTAGTATATAACTGGAAGAGGGAGGAAGAAAACGTTAAGGTCGCTGTATTGCAACATTCTCTTTACACCTTGGTTAAAAGTTTAGGTAAGTACCAAAACATGCTCTAATGAATGAGGGAGGAATAAGAAAGAGCCCATCGCGAAGGCAGTATTCCTAGTATTTCATCTTTTCCAGATTTTTGTCCGTGGTCAGTGCAGACATCACACACACACACACACACACACACACACACACACACACACACTATTTCCCTGCTCTTTGTCCAACTTTACAGGTGACAAAACTGTGTCTGCCTTGGTTATTGCTGGCTCAGCCGCAGGTGCGCTGGGGGAGGTTTTGGCCAGGCCGGCTCCCCAACAGCCCGGGGGCTGTCACCCCTGCTCTGGCTCAGGCCCACCGGGGTGTGTTCCTGGCTATGGAAATCAATTTGGAATTAAAGTAAAGGACGCAGATTCCCTAGCTGCCAGACTTCCAAGTCTGGAGGAACTGTCCTAAGAAACAGGCGAGCCTCTAAAAGTCTCTGGAAGCAGCTCCTCCCAGGACCACAGGCAGGAATACTGAGCCCCCTGCCAACTCCCCGCCCCCCATCCCCACCACCTCCACACACACACACACACCCCAAAGGACGGTCTGATAGATGCGCAGCCTGGGTCACTACTGTGGCGACATCTGGACATTCCCACCTGCGGAAACTTGGAGCCGAAGAGGATGAACCCACAGCTGCGTGCGCTCACCTTCCTTCCCCGCCAGAGGGCTCACGGAACAGAGCCGAGTGGCACCCCTTGGGCACCCGGAGACGCCCCGCCTGGGATCCGAAGCCTGAGCCGAGCCAGGGGGGCCTCACCTGAGGCTCCTTGCAGCCGGACAGCAGCCTGGGGGTCCGAGGGCTGGACAGCCGGACAGGGGGCCACCCTTCGGGACCGCGAGGCTTCCTCCAGGCCACGCCCCTTCTCCCAGGGTCCCGCCCCTCCCCAGGTCTGCTCCACCCCTACCTCCAATACCCCCCCCTTCTCCGCCTCCTCCGCCTGCCCCGCCCTGTGGTCCCGCCCTCTCTCCCTCCAGCTCTCCCTGGGCCTTGGCGGCTGGAACCGGCCCACCCACAACTTGGAGGTGCCTGTCTTTCCAGGGCTGGAGAGAACTGGCGCTAATTGGAAATTCAAGGTAGGACTGGTGAGGTGGCAGAAACAAGCCCAGGGCATTAGCAGGGGCGGGGACCCCCAAGATTTCCCATAAGGCAGGAGAGGAACGCCCCTCAAAACTGCATCAATAATATAAACCCCTGGACAGAGGACCCAGCAGAACTCCCCCTTGGGAGTGAGATTCCAGGTATCTAGAATGGGTGGAAAAGTCATCAGAGAAACCTGCGTCCTAACCTAGGAGTGGCCCAAGGACCAGAACTGAGGGGTGGTTTAGAAAAATGGGAGGGACAGATTGTTTTTCTGCAGGGTTCTCAGTTATTTTAATTGACCCTTCAAACCGTCTGGGCAGTTTAGTCTTGGGTTCCTGAAACAGGTGGGGAGAGATTTTAACCACTCCCTGTTCACTGACATCTGGCTTTCCAATATTGAGGCTATTTGGTCAGGTACACGTTTTAGGTCTGCTCTGAGGTCAGAGTTCACATATCATGGATCTTCCTGTGTGAAACCCCTCAGACTAGGACCCTCCTGGCGCCTTCCCAAAGTCCCTATCATTGGTCCATCTGGAATGTCACTTCCCCCTCCCCCCCAGGTGTTCCTGTGGTTCACCCTAGGGATTTCCTCACTTCCTCTGCCCATAGGTAACACTGGTCACAAATAACTGACATTGTTTGTTGCTTGGCTTCCCTGCCTGTGAGCTGAGTCACATAGGAAAGGTGTTTTAGGCAGCAGGAGTGGCACCAGGTGTCTGGCAGGTGGGGTCAGATTAAACGTGGGTTCAGCAACCTGGCTACTCAGGTTCTGGCTAAGAAAGACCCAACTGTAAGAGAACATGTACCGGTATTTGATAAATCACAGACATAGAAGAAGTAATCCCTAGAAGAAATGGGCTGAGGAAAGGAATTATGGAGGCAAGAGAAGGGCCTTAGGAGCGTGGGAGTGAGGAAAGTAGTGGGAATGCACCTGGAATGGGGTGGGGGAGGGACAGGCACCTGGCCAGTGTGCTCTGGGAGGGGGAGTTCTGCTGGGTCCTCTGTCCAGGAGTTTATATTATTGATTGATTGATTGATTGATTGATTGATTTAATCTTTATTGTTGAAAGTGTTACATTAACCTCTTCCCACTGCTCCTATCCCCTCCCCCTCCCCCCAGGCCCTCTTCACCCTATACTGTAGTTTGTGTCCAGAGGTTATGCATAAATGCATACAAATTCATTGGTTGAACTCTTCCCATCCACCCTCCCTTGCCTTTCTTCTGAGGGTCAACAGTCTATGATGTCCTAAGGGTTTTAAAGGTGGAGATTTGAGGGGAGGTTCCAGGAAAAGATCTCAATAGAATACTCAGCAGTTTTCCAGGTGTGTTCTTTCAGGGTGTGGTCTCCACTAGTTGATTGGCGGGCACCGGTAATAAGGGGATCATTATTCAATGAGCTGGTCCTGAGGTCAGCTTTGGGTGGTTTTGTTGCTCTTCTGGGCCTGGAGCTGAAATACAACTGAGACCAGGCGTTATCTCTAGGGAGGAAAGGCCAGGGGATCCAAACCTCAAGATTGGCCTTATGCTAGGGAAGGAAAAGTCACCCTGGGGGCTAGGGCCCACCCTGCAATTGTCCTTTGGGAGGTACCTGGGGCTTTCCATCCTGGAGAATCGAGCCCATCTTCCTTGCTCTGCTTATGCCTATCTAACTGCCTACCACAAATGCATCATAAATGTTGTTGAATGATGACATGCATGTAACAGACGATTAAGGCACCCCAGGCCCAGTTCTTTAAGGAAATTCCCTCACCTGTCTTTACCTTATAAGTCTGCAGGATCTTATCTCACAATTAGTATTTCCATCTCCTCCTCATCCCCAAGTTTCATCCTACCTCTGAACAGAGTCCTCTTCATTTTCGTAGAGGTGCTGGTGTAGTAAAAACCTGGGACTTGGCTCCTCTTGTCTGAACTCTGCAATAACTAGCTCTGTGATCTTAAAGGTCTTCAGAGCGCTGAGTCTTAGGCCAAAGTCCTAGGTAGGTACTTTTAGGGCCTACCAAATTATAAAAAAGATTTTAAAAAACTATTAGGGTAAAGAAAGTTATACAATATTGATTATTTGGTCTGTATCGGAATGTGGTTCTTAACAATGTTCAACTTTACTCAAAACCTGTAATCCTGGAAAACAATAAGTTCAAGAAGTCTTCCCACCTCTTTGTGTTCAGAAAATGGTTTACTACAAATGAAATGACTTTCATAATACTTATTAACAAAACTTACTTTGTTCATCTATGATAAGCTACTCACAGATCCTTCAAATACCCCCTTTTTTTTATTCCCTCACTAGAGGCTGAGTACATGAAATTTGTGCATGAGTAGGGTCTCTAGGCCTGGCCAGTGATCAGGGCCGATCTGGGCCTTCCGGCTGCCAGCTGGGTCTTCCTTCCCTGGCTGACAGCTGCTGGTTGGGGCCTTCCTTCATTCCATGCTGCCTCCTGCTGATCAGCATACATCATATCGATTTGACCGAACTCCAGGTCTCCCAGTCGAACTCCCAAGGGGACACCTTGCATATTAGCCTTTTATATATATACAGATTCCTATCTCTAAAATGGAGAAGTTGTATTAGATAGGCCAAGATCTCTTTTGGCTCCCAAAATAATTAATTCTGAAGCAAAATTTAAAAAAAAGAAAGAAGAAGCAAGTCAGACCTTGTAGACTTCAACAGAAGAGCAAGGTTTCAGCTGAGAGCCAAACCAGGCACGTGCAGGTATTTTATTTGACTAGCCTGGTATTGTGGTTGCCATCATTTTTTAAAATTGGATTTGAATAGTAAAGGACTCACATCTCTTTATAGCCTTCACCGTTGGTATTATCTCTTTGGCCACTGAAGACATTTAGTTTCTGTTTCTAGAATACTTTGTGCTCTCAGAAAATTATAAAAATGCCTCCTTCCTTTTCTCCCTCCACATCAACAGATAGCTAGGCAGGGATACAATTACTCTCTATATCGTAGGGGTAGGATTGGGCATTTGAACAAATGGACACATTTCATTTATAATTGAAATGTCTTTCTTTGGTATTAAGATGCTATCCAGGACAACCCTCTCATTTTTAAGCTCTGAAAGATTTTTACCAGGTAAAATAAATATCCCTGGAGGAATGTGGTAATTTAAATTGTAATAGATTCTCTGGCATATTATTATACAAAAAAAAAATGAATAGAAAAAATGCGCAAATAAATTAGTTTGGTCATTTCTGAGGGGAAAATATCTGTGATGTTTTAATACATCTTCAAAAATGTTATGATATTCTTCCCTTTGGTGGAGCCTAATTTCCCTCCCTTTGAGTGTGGGCTATACTTAGTAACTAGCTTCTAACAAATTTGATGAGTGAGGAATGATGAAGAGTCAAATCTACATCCTAAAGTGACATTGTAACTTCCATTTTATTCTCACTCTTTCTTGGATCACTCTCTCTTGAGGAAGCCAACTAGCATGTTCTTAGGGCATTCAAGTAGCTCTAGAGAGAGGCCTATGTGGTTAGGAAGTGAAGCCTCCTGCCAATAGTCATTATAAAACTGAGGCCAACTCATATGAAGATACCATTAGGGAAATGGATCCTCCAATCCCAGCTGACATCTTAATTGCAACCTTGTGAGAGACCCTAAACCAGAACCATACAGTTCAGGCACTCTTGAATCCTAAACCCACAGATACTCTGCTATAATAAATGTCATGGTGATTTGTTACACAGCAATAAGAAACTAATACAAAAGTTATTTAAGAAACTTTCCTGATGATGATACTAATAATATTGGGCATTTTTAGATGTTTCTGCAGTATAATGTTTTCTATATCTTCCAAAGACATTTTTGGTAGCATGATCTATGTGGACACTTATCATCCTTCTTAACTACCCAGTCTTTGACCCTGTTTTTTTACGTTTACAAAATCCTCACCCTCCTGATGATACAGGGCCTATATCTTCCTGGAGAAACTGCAAACCCATGCCATTGTTTACTCTTTAATAGTCCATTGCACACAGCACATAGACACATACTCTAGGCCATGCCAATCAGATTCACAGCCCCAGACAAAATCCATCCTGGTGAGAGAGGTGGCAGCACCACAGCCACATCTGGTTTCCAAAGGCAGCAATCCAAGGCTTCTGGCTGCTGCATCCAACCACGTGCAGCAGAGGTCTCGGGGTCTGTGCCCAACGTTGGTGGCAGTGATCCTCCATGGTGCAGTGCTGCAGTGTGATTCTGGACTTTGTCATGACTACATACTATCCAGTCTTAGTTGTTGTTTTTTATCCCCCTTTGCATTTAGGTTAGCAAATATTACTTTCTTTTGCATACAACTAAAAACCCTGACTGCAAGAGGCAGATACTGTCTCCATTTTAAAGATGAGAACATTGAGGACCAAATTTGTTAAATGATGTATGAGTAGATAGAAGTAGCAACTGGTAGAATTGGAATACATCAATTAGTTCAGATTGAGCTAAGAAAACACTTAACTTTAGCATTTAAAAGATGAAAGGTTTACACACTTTAAAAAATATGTTTTTCTTTAATTCAGATGAAATGCTGCTCTTCTGCCCTGGCCCACATATTAAATGTCAACATTATGGCATTGAACCCCCTACTGCTTCTGCATGGACCATGCTCTTTCAAGCTTCCTTGATATTGCGCAGATATTTCTTTCTGCAGATGCCTTTCTCTGCCCATCACTGCCTCCCATCCATTTTAATTAATTTGGCTCTTCTTCAAAACCTAGATTTAGTGATGATTCCTCTTTGCAGTCTCT